GTAAGAAGTTCATATTGTTTTTATGTGTATAAAGAATGTTAACAGCAGAGTCGAAAAAAGTGAAAGAATGACAAGAAAAGAGAAAATATTGTTGTTTTGTCAATCTTCGACAAATTTTTTAAGAAAGAGAAACAAATCAACACACGTGTTTTTCTCCAAGCGAAATAGAAACAGAAAAGGATTTGTTATTTGATGATTTATGTGTAGTCATAGCAGAGAATACGGCAATTACACATTCAATTCGAATTTTGATTTGTATAATTCATGCTTAAAAAGGAAATTAATACGAAATGAATTTGTTATTATACGAGAGAGAAGTTCATGATCAATGGCATCACCTGTTGATTTTTTGTCTTATTCCTCGAGTGCTGACCTCTATGACTGTTGCGAGAGGAAATCGATTCCCGTTTTATCTTCGAACAATAAAAATATGTCAACTAATTGTTAAAAATGAAGATAAGAGTGAGCCTAGCAACAATTATCACGATTTCGTTTTTGCTAAGGGTATAGTCAGCTGCCTTTAACTTCACGAACTTTGGTTAGCTTGGCTCAAGTTTTCATCATTATGTTCGTAATTGCGTTGCTATATGTCATGGGCGTTTTATCCTAATCTTTTTCTTCGAGTGAACGATATTATCACATACATAAGTTAGTATTTCAGAATGTTGGTGCGGTTAAACGTAGTTAGAGAAGACCTCCACACCCGCATCAATGCTCTATGCTGAAGTAAATTCATTTTCTAAGTGAAATATTCATTTGTGTGTTGAAAGAGATTTTTTCAGTTTAGTTGAGCTCTAAACTTTTTCTTAGGCATATAAGGTGACAAATGCTCTTGATTATTTTATTTCCAGAAACAAACACAATCTATTTTCTAAGTTTCACATATAAACAATGTCAATCCAAAATTATGTACAAATATTGTAAATGTTTCTGATGCCAATATTTGTTCTTGAATATGTACACAAAGATGCAATGTTTTGGCTTGTGTTTAAAATGCAAAACTTATCCAACGATAAACCATAGGAAATAAACTGTGCCTGCCATTATTTACCAAATTCGAAATGCACCTACAGAAACAAATCTGTAATGTTCAGTTCTAAGTTACCAACGACCAGTTACAAACATGATATTAATACATGTAGAAAAAATTTTCATGATGCTCAGATCATAAAGATACATACAAACTAATACTCCCGTTGTGTATGCTTAGCCGCTGAAATTGTGGGATTAACCAGTAGGTTCTGGTTTCTCTACAGGTGGATCAATAATAACAATAGTTTCAATTGGTTGAGTGACATCGGCTGTGACTTCATTTGTTACATTGATACATTCGAATGGACGAGGCATATCAATAGATAAAAGAGTAAGTTAGTGAATGATGTGAAAGTAAAGTGTTGAGATGTGGTATACAGACGATCAAATTTTGCTTTTATACTTCTTGAGGTATGTTTTCGGTTGAATTTTTCCAGATTACGCAAGCATATGAAATGTGCGAGTGTGCATATCGATAAAGAGAAAAATAGCATTCACACCCCCGCACGCCTACATTCTTTCTCTCTTCTGATGAGCTCTCTAAAGACTAGCATGTTAAACATTGCGTTTTCAGCCAGAACAAAGGTGACTAATTCAGCTGATTTTGGCAACATCCAACAACGGTCTTTGTTTTGCGCTTGCTTTACCTGCAACAAGAATTTTGCTGCTTAAAAAAGCAACAAAATTTTTCTTGTTAACTCTTGAGGATGTGGGTGTTAGTTTTCTCTTCATCATCACCGACATCCTCCAGGAGAGTTTTTTCCTACTTTAATCAAATCCTATACTTTTCCTTATTCATGTAAGGTGACAAATGATCTTAATGATTCTTTGTGCCATAAAACAAAAAAAGTCTTGTTTCTTAGTCTCCCATACATATGATGCCAAGCAAAAACTATGTAAAAATATTGCAAATGTTTCTGATGCCAATATTTGTTCTTGAGTTTGTACACACATATAATGCTTTCAGGTTGTGTTTCAAATGAAAAATATGCGCGACGTTGAACCACAGGAAATAAATCGTATGTACGATTAATCATCGAATTCGAAATGCATCTATAGAAACAGATCTGTAGTGTCCAGTTGTATGTTATCAACTACTTATTACATGCATGACACTGATATATGTAGAAGAAAAATTTTGTGATGCTCAATCCACAACGATACATATGAACTAACGGTTGTCCCATAATAAACGACCGGTTTTTGTATTTCGTATTTTAATCTCTAAATCCATTTTATTGAAAAACGGAATATACTACAAGATGCAGCGTGAAAAATTGTATAAATTACAAAGAACAGCTAATCTGTTGCTTTCAAAATATCCGAAATTCTGTATGATCGATTTTCGACGCTCTGAAAAAATCATTTTTTCTAAAAGAAAGAGGAATTTCTTTTTTTTCTAATTTCATCTTTTCATCGCCTAATATGTTTTCTTAAAAAATGCAAAACACACTATAAGATGCAGCGTGAAAAGCTTTACAATGTAGAAAGTGAAGTTTATTTATATTGTGTAGTTTTTCTTTAAAAAGAAACAAAATTCTGTGTGACCACTTTGCATAGCGTCGAAAATTGGTTGCCCGGAGTTTTGCTCGTTTTGAAAACAAAAAGGAGCGAACTACAATATTTCTTATCTTGTAGATTGTAGGCTTTTCGCTCTGCATCTTGTGATATATTCTGTTTTTTAATAAAAAGTATTTAGATATTAGAATATGAAGCACAAAACTCGGCCATTTATTATCGGGCACCCGTTATTAATATCAACTGTATAGTTTCCAGTTAGCTACTGGGCTTCAGTGACTGACCAGTTGATTCTTGCTTTTTCAGGGATGGATCAATGATACAATAGTTTCAATTGGTTCAGCCGTATCAGCCGTTTTATATCTACCACAGCGCGTACTACTGGCGGCTTAGTCATGCTAATACCAGTCGTATTGATTTGTAAATGATCAAAGACCAATGTAAGAATGAAGTGTCGAGACGCGGCATGCAAACGAACAAACCTTGCTTTTATACTCGTTGAAGTATGTTGTATGTTGGAATTCTCCAGATTAGAAAACAAAATGTGATGCATAACGCATAATTGTAGAAAGACGTCTACACAAGGAATAAACCAATCATAGAAATGTAGAATTATGCTGATATAAAAACTTTCTGACTTCGACGTGTAGTTAATGACTAATGTTTCTACATCACTATGACAAATACGAGACGTCATTCTTCTTCTCGTCGTAATCAACAAAGGAAGTGACTAATAGTAGCGTTGGAAAAAGTCTCGGTCGCATATGTAGATTAATGGAATCTTTCTACAACATAGAATAAAACAAACTTTCACTGTCATCAAATGAAGTTGTACTAAGTCACAGCTGTCTTTGGTGATTCTTCTTCTTTTTGACATTATTTACGAAAAGTTGAATGAGATTAGCAAGCACAAGTTCTCCGCAAAACTGTAGAAAAGATGACGATTCTTCGAAAATCTTCATAGGAATCAAAAAATCTACAATCTTGCCTATACAAAATAGTAAACAAAGTTTTCAAAACGTTTTTTCAGTACAAATGTATTTATATTAATATGTGGTAATGAAAAGGATGCAACAAAGAAAAAGATGAGAGGTATAAAAACTAATGTAACCAAGTATATCCGATATATTGATGAATGAATGGCTCATGTACAAGCAGCAAGAGTGAAGGAAATAAATTGTATTGCTTTCGTAGGAAACAAAATGCTTGTCATAGATGAAGAGAGCATAAAGTGTAGATCGTTGTTGAATTTTACTAAAGTTAGCTGAAGTAAGGACCGTTACTTCCCTCAAAATACAGCATGTTAAACATGGCCATTTAGAGAGAGCTCATCAAAGTAGGGATAACAGTATGTATGTTGGTGTTAGCTTTCTCTTCATCGGCACCCACACTTGTATCTCTAATCTAAAATATATCAAAGAGAACTGTTTTTAAAATGCTACCACGTTTTCTACAGAATCTCGTACATTTTTCTGAAAATGAAGGGAAAATTATATTTAATATAATTTTTCATCTTTATTGTCTTCTAGAATATTGGTAAATCCATATGTATCCAACTAATTTTCTAGAAAAAGGTTTTTTCTCATAAAAAGAAGTAAGTTGTGGAGGTTTTACTAGCTTAAATGTCTTCTATTTATGAACAAAAAATTAGCTCATTAGTGTGTATACTCACTGATGAGACCTTCATTCGACGTTTCTATAGAAAAGACTCCAAATCTTTACCATTTTAGGCGAAAGTCGGTCCACTTTTTCGGAAAAACTTGTTCTCTGATCGCTTCTCATTACATTAACACTACAAAAACTGCTTAATAAAGACGGTTGAATATTCATGAATTTGATTCATCTTTCTTTATATTGAAAGAAGAATGTAATTAAAAAATGCATTGATTTCAAATTTCTACAATTTTGTCTTTTCATTTGTAATTCCTTGCGTAACTTGTCAAGTGCAAACTTGATTAAATAGTTATCTGTCGTCTTTGATTTAAAGAACAAAGAATTCGACGTAAATTACAGCTATTCATGGATGTACAGATCAAATGAATAATCTATTCATTTCTTAATTTTAATTGATTGGTTTTGAAATAAAAATAAAACTAAATTCGATGTATCTTGTCTTGTTTCTATTTCAATAAAATTAATTAGAATCAAAATCAACTAAGGATAAACTACGATTAACCAATGCCTATCTAACATGAGATACATTTTTTTCTCTTTACTCAGCTGATATGAGATTTAATGGATAAATAATTTTGAAAATTAAAATGAAAAAGATTGTAAAAACTATTTTTTAATAGACTTTGAATTCTTTAACTCACAGTGAGTCATCTCTATGCAGTATTATTAATTTCATCGTATTCTTTCATATATTGCTTAATATAAATAATTTCTATTTTTTAACAAAGATAACTTTTTTCTTTTTTTTACATCAAATTAATTTTATTTTTAATCAATTAAACACTTTCACCAAATCGTTCTCGATTTTTAATAAAAAATGCAGCCAAATATTCGATCGGTTTTTTGGGTCTTTCTCTTGCTACAATGGATAAACCTTCGATAATAATTGGAATCACTGTTTTATTGAAATAAGCTGCTGTTGGATAAGCTTGAATTTCAGCAAGCGATGGAACGTTCGGTGAATTAAGTTCATGATCAATTATTTGTAATATATGAGATGGTAATTGTGGTGGATCTCCTGCATTTGTATTTACTGATGATAAAGAAGGATCTTGAAGAAGAATATCAGCTGCATTAACATCATCGTTTACATGTGGTTGTTCTGAATTGGCCATTGGTTAGTTACACTAAAAGAATAAATAAGTGAAAAACACGAATGAATGAAACTATGACCATAAAGTTTGTTGTTGACATAGCAACACCTCTACGTCTTTTTGATATTGTCGAGTAGTCAACGGTACTAATATAGTTGAATCTGAATACATCAATTTCGAAAGATCTTATTCACAAAATTTTTATATTTTATTCCTCTCGAAGTAATAGATGAGAATAAAAACTGATCGTAAGAAAATTATTATATGCTGAATTCGAACGTTAAAACCAAAGAGAGAGATTGACGAGATTTATATTACATTTCATTAAAAAAAAAATTTTTTTTCTAGATCATGTTGATTATTTGATAAGATGGTTTAGTATGTGAATTTGATAATTATCAAGTAAACCTTATGTTAAACCATCGTCATTCCTGGCTACGTATAAATATAAATATGTCTGAATCTATGCATGATTATTGAACAAAGATGTCACTAACATATTCTTTAAATATTTGAAAAGGCTTTTTATCGTTTTGACAACGATTGTTTCAAGAAGATGTTGGACTGAGTAATCAAAATAGCCTAAAATAATACGTGATTTGCACATTTCATAATATTCGATGCGATACACGACATGTGTCCTGACTGCAATGTGCCTCTATGTATTGTTGATTACTTTCAGAGCTGGAACCGGTCCGGCAAACCGGTACCGGTCCGGCCGGACCGGACCGGACCGGTACCGGACCGGTTGAAAAAGCCAACCGGGCCGGATGAAACCGGAATTTCCACGGTATCAGTTTCTAAG